GAAGGGGAAGAATGGGAAAAATATTCCTGCTTAGGGCTTCCAATGGATTAGCACTGCCTCTTATTTTCACTATCCAATCAATTCTGAATATGTGCACAGGATTGGTGACTCCAAAAGTATCATTGGAGCACAACGGGGCAGAGAGCTAACTATAGCTAAACTCTCCCCATTCATTAATCGATGGATGAGGAGATTTAGTTATACCATATCTACCACCTTCCCTCCTATCCAAAGGGCTTGTTAGCCTATCAAAGAAAGCTGTCAGATTGGTTTGAATTGATTTGTTCTTCACAAATCCATGCTGTTACTTATCACCTTATTATATTCTACATATTTATAGTTGGATTTCTTAATTATTTGGTTCATTATCTTACCTGGCACAGAAGTAAAGCTGATCAGTCTGTAGTTTTCAAGGTTGTCCTTATTTCCCTTTTTATAAATGGGCACTATATTTGCCCTTTTCCAGTCTTCTGGAATCTCACCCATCTTCTGTGTCTTTTCAAAGATGATAGCTAATGGCTCAGATATCTCCTCAATCAGTTCTTTGAGTATTCTAGAATGCATTTAATCAAGTTCTGGTGACTTAAAGACATTTAACTTTAACTTACTGCCTACTAATACTTTCTCACTGACTGTCCTATCTATTCACTGTTAATGGTGCCCTTTTCTTTTTGTGCCTGACCTTAATTTTATGACTGCTCAATTCCAACAGCACAAAATTTATGGAAATTTTCTGCTAATATTCAATACATCTTATTAAAGGAATTAAATTCAAGAAATGTGAAACCCATTTCTCTACCATTTTTAGCCACTTTTAATCACTCTCGTGATTTCAAGGATTCAGAAACTGGCCAGTTTTAATGAAATGAGAAGTTTCCTGCCACTGTGTATGCTTGTTTCCTCTGGTATATATTTAGTAGCGTGGACACATATGCTATCGCACTCATTCTGACAGTTTAGGGACTTGGCTAAAGAGAATCATGTGCCTTGGCTACTGCTGTGTTCCAGTTAATTCCAGCCTATAAGCAGACATTTGAGCTACAATAGTTTGGAAAGGAGTGAGCCCCTGTCCATCAGTAAGAGTTTGTGGTGAAAGGTTAGTAGTAAGGGAGTTGGCACCTCCCACTCCACAAGGTTCCCACCCAAGACTCTCTTGATCACTGTAAGAGGTATCATGGTTTGTAGCTATCCCTGGCAATCCAACATGTAGGCATCCACAAGCTAGGAAATCCCTGCTTTGGGCTGCAGTCCTCTTCCTGGAGATGTACCCTTCTGTGTTCCCTCTGTATTACTACAGGTTTGCCCCCTCTGCCGACTACTTTGCTATTCTGATGTGTCTCCATCTTAAACTTCCCTTCCAACTGGAGCATGCTCAAAATACCTACCAGGATAGGGCTTTCCAGGCCCAGAGTTGTTCCTTTCATTTAGCCAGTATGAGGTTTATCTAGTCCATCACAGCTGCTATAAATTAACCTTTGTTAAGCAGAGAACCAACATGAAAATCAGGGACAAATATTCTGCTCCTCTTACCCCTCAACGTACCTAGAGAAACTATATGCAGAAAATAATCTTGGGCTGTGTCTACACTGGCATGAATTTCTGGAAATGCTTAAAACGGAACAGTTTTCCATTATAAGAATTTCTGGAAAAAGAGCGTCTACACTGGCAGGCTGCTTTTTCGGAAAAGCCCTTTTTCCAGAAAAGCGTCTGTGGCCAATGTAGATGTGCTTTTCCGGAAAAAAGCCCCGATCATCATTTTCGCGATCGGGGCTTTTTTCCGGAAAAGACTACTGTGCTGTCTACACTGGCCCTTTTCCGGAACAGTTTTCCGGAAAACGGACTTTTGCCCGTGTGGGAACAGCATAGTTTTTCCGGAAAAGCAGCGGATTTCTTACAGTAAATCGTCATTGCTTTTCTGGAAATTCAAGGGGCCAGTGTAGACAGCTCGCAGCTTATTCCGGAAAAGCGGCTGCTTTTCCGGAATAAGTGGCCCAGTGTAGACACAGCCTTGGTGTTTGTTTAAATGGGAAAAATCCTTCCCTCTGTTTTTCTACAATATTCTGAAAAGAGAAAGCACCATTATTTAGTTATGAAAGAATAAGCTGCCATTTTACCACCAGTTGCATTGAAGGTGCCACATTCAACTCCCCAGAGGAAAGTTGGGCAAAATCTACCTGTCTGGCATACTGTACACCAGATTTATATATATGCTGCATTCCTTGTAGTGGGATACATGCCATGGGGAAATAGGATTACTGGAAGAGCATACATATTTATGTTAACTGGATGCAGTATGTGTGTATGTACCTCTGATAGAAACTTTTCTTCTAAGACTGCTTGAAAATGGTCACACTGGTGCCTGATCTGGTTCTTTTGAAGCCTCCATTTGGGGGTGATCTTAATTTTCATTGTGGATCAAATGAGTCCAGCAGTCATCAGCACTTGTCCTTGCTCTTGTGAGAAGAACATCACTGTGCTCTTGAGCACAAACTATGACATAGTTGAGAAGATGCTAGTGCTTTGAATGTGGGTGTCTCCGAGATGTTTTGAACTTATCCTTTTGTCAAAAAAGAGTGTTCATAATGATAAGTTCATGTTCAACACACTTAGTCAGGAGCAGGGTTTAATTTGAGTTGTTTTTGCCAACTCCTTCTTTCCTGGCTGTTTCTTTCCGTAGGTCCGAGTCTCATCCAACACGTGCATTGAAATCCCCCAGCAGAATGACCTTATCTTCTTTAGGAGTCTCTGATAAAATGGTTTCCATATCAGAGTAGGAATCTTCCTTTATATCCTCATCGGTGTCCACTGTTGGTGCATAGGTGCTCACAATAATTACCTGTTGGTTTTTGGTGAATCACAAGCAGCGTGTCATAAATTGCTCATTAATGCCAACTGACAGCTCAGAGAGGCACCTTACAAACGTATTCTTAATAGTGAAGCCTACTCCATGCCATCAAGGTTCATCTAAAGATTTTCCCTTCAAAAGGTAGGTGTATTCTCCTTTCTCCACCCTCATCTGTTCATCATCAGCTCTTCTAGCTTCAGATAAGCCAGCAATGTCCATTTTAAACTGATTGAATTCACAAGCAATGATAGCTGTATGTCACTCTGGTCGGTCGCTGAGTTGTCCGTCAGAGTACATACGTTCCAGATTCCAAAGCTGGAAAAGTTTCCTATATTTTCAACTGCTGGGGTGGTGATCCTGCTGGATGTGGCTATGCAGCAAGGAGGAAAAGAGGCAAGACTATTTTTAGGGCACTTTTTCTAGTCCCCTCCCCATGTGGGGAGAGCAGAGTGGGTTCTAAAGAGGTCTGCTCAGTCATGGTTTCAGCAGCTGAGATGCTTGACCTGCCTCAGTCCTCAAGCAAAATGACTGAATCACATGCTCACTGCCTATGTGTCGATCTGTGATTAGGAACTTCCAGATCTCATTGTCTTGTTCCTGTTACCACTCGTTGATCACCACCAAACTTTCAACTTGTTCAGGTGCTGTTTTCCCAAAAACTGGAAGATGCCTGTGCAGGACTTCCCTTAAAGTGCAGAGACTGGTGTACAACAGTTACTGCACTGACCTCGACAACTAGAGCGCTTGAAACCAATGGCATGAACACCACAACTGGAGGACCTCTATGTGCTGCAGCCTTCACCCGCCTTCACAGTCGCTGTCACATTACATAGCAGTTTCAACTTCATTGTGCAGTTATCCATCTGCTCTGCTGTTGAAGACTTCTTGGATCACACTTTGTCTGGAACCTCGCTCTTGACTGTTCTGCCATGGATGACTCTAAGGAAGTACATGACTCCAGGAAGCATCACTCTCAGGGGTTATTGGAACACGCAAGCATCTCCACCACTATCCATGGAGAGGATACTATAAATATGACTAGATGAAATGCATATCTCTGAAACATACCTGATGTGTAAGGTGATCAGGCTGTGAGAATTTACTTTCCAAAAGAAAGGAAGAGCACTTTTTTGTGTTGTATTGTACCGCTTTGTCTTTAGACAATAAATTTGGCTAAATTTAGTTATTCATTTTCTTGAACATTTTTAAGAATTAACTGTTTAAACAATAGGAAGCTTGTGGAAGTGGCCCTATGTACTTCATGACTGCATAGACTGTCCACCTACAGGTTGGTGTAGTCCATTTCATGTTTCTCACTGGGTTTGCTGTGGGAAAGGGGTCATGGTTGGGTAGGTACAGAGCGGGTAGCGTAGTGATCCTTCTGTCCCTTGTGGGCATTGCCCTGTCTCTTCAACAAATGTCCAAGAAAGCTAGTCACAATCTGACCCATCATAATCAAATTAATATTTGTATGTATAAAGTGATAATGTAAAAATAACCCTTGCTTGCTGTGAGTTTTGATGGAAACGGTGGCTTTAAAGGAGAAAAATTAAAGTAAACCCTCTGACAGATGTTCATGTGTGAACTAGCCACAAAAAATGCATAATATATGATATAATATAGGGTGTAAATGAATCAAAGAGGTATTTCATAGCAAACATTTCTTAGATTTTAATGACTTCTGCTGAGACAGCTGCTGCATTAAGTGATAAAAACATAGCCAGAGTGTAATGATGTATCACTTGTGTAAAGGTCTTTAGTACATATATTGTACATGCATATCCTTCCCCACTCAATTAACCAAAGACTTGCTTTCCAGAAATCTATGGGTACAGTGTGTTCCAGTGCAAAATGTTGCCCCGAAACGCTTGAAGGAAATATAGGAGTGTCACTGGAAACTGTTACAGAAGAAATCTTAAAGAGATTTCTTTTACTCTCCTTTTATCTCAAGCCATTCTTTTTTCTTTTTGCCTAATTTTCCAGACAAAGTTCGGATTTAAACCAATATATTCTCACAGACTATGCCTCCAACAAATAGACAATTATACAGTATTAATAAATTATAATGAAGAAGCTTCAAATCAGTCACAGATGGATGATTTTGCCAGTGAGTACCAGGGGAGCAGGGTCAGGCCTTGAGTCAACAATCAAATTGCTTTGGCATATGCTGACTGAAAAGCATCCATATTGTTCTGAAAGTGTCTTTTTCTTCGCTCATATAGATCCACCTACAGGCAGATTGTTGATGTTAGCAACTCCTATTGATTGCTCTTGCATACATCATTCACTGAAAGAAAACAAAAGGTTGCATCTGAAGTCTGTGAATTCAAGAGACTTATTATTTTACTATAAGTTTCATAAGAAGTCAGCATTCTTAAGTGTTTATATGATCAGTGAATGAACTTTGAGGGCTGGAGCACAGAGGACATTCAGAGAGTATATGTTACAGAGGAAGGTAGATATTAGCATATAGTCTATTTTTTGAAATACTTGTTCAGGGGAAAAAAGAGAGAGAGTGTTTTGAAATAAGGATGTTTTATAACAGGTAGAATATCTAAGCATCAAGCGGGGATAAAAGAAAATCAGAGTCAGACATCATTAAACCTATGCCCGTAGCATTAAGTCTGGCAAAGCAAAAGGAAATGTAAGATATAATGAAAATGCAAAAGATAAGGAAGTGATATGAAGAGACTAAAAAATAAAAAATAGAAAGCAAATAAAAAATAAATAGATACCTGATTGAGCAATCCTTGCTCATGATGGTGAGCACTTACACAACTAGAACAAGAGGAGCACTGTCTGGCCCTGTGTATTTAAACAGAAAACAATATTTCTACTTCACGTGACTCGTGGGAAGAAAACACTGAAACTGATAAATTTTCAGGTTATGTAACATTAACAAACCTCACCAGTGGTATAGAAGTGGACTATGCTTATATTTTAAGCATTTTTACAAGGAAATAGTGCAAAACAAATCTGAAGATTTTAATATGATCAGCCTATTCAGGACTTCTGTACTCCATCGAGTGTCTCTCTCTTCATTTTTCATGGGTTAAAAAATAAAAAATGAGAGTTAAAAAAAGAGCTACAGCAATAAATAGCATAGCACCACCCAAACCTATCTACAGGATTAAATCTAACTAAATCAAGAATACATCTATTTGGCCCTTCCTATTAACCAAATTGTAACAGATGCTGTGCTCCTTATGAACTCCAGTTAATTCCAACAAGTCAGTGTGTTTTTTGGATACAACCTTGCAAGTGCTACTTATCTGAGCTACTGGCTGTACTGAGATCCAATTGACGCCATTCACTTGGGGTGCTTTTTACCTCACGGGAGATTCTCACCCCCTACTGGGCTGGAACCAAATAAATGGAAAATGTTTGGAGGAGGTCCAAAGTCTATCAAATTCTGCTCCAAGTCTGTTGATAGAGAAATCTCTTCTGCAACCAGAGGAAGCATTTTAAATGCCAAATGGTCCATTGTGAAAGTAGCATTGCCCATGATCAATTAGGAACAATCTCTCATTTTCTACATATCCATGCATCACAGCTCATAACAGAGCAAGTGTTAATTTTCATCAAATGCTCAGCTATAATTCATATTTTAGTATCATTCTCAAATTGTTAATTGAAATCTTTAACCTTGCAGAAGGTTGCTCTCATAATTCTATGAAAGTGATGAGGTAGTCACAGATGGAAAGCTGACTACAATTTTACCAGGATGCAATTTTCACTAAAATGGTTAAGAGTCTTGATCAAAGAGAACTTGATTAGCTTATAAGATTGTTTCTGAAGGAATGCTTATCACCTGAGTCATTTAAAAACTGGACTGAATCTAGTACTTGAAAATATACTTTAGGACGTAGGAATGTATTGTTAATATGATGGTAATAAGGGCTGTCCCCCGAGGGGCACAAGGCCTGGGTCAACTGACCCTCCTCCGCCCTGTACCGCGAGTGCAGGGCCCAGGGCAACCCCCCACCAGAGGCCTTGCTCCACCTATGTTCCATCCTGTTCCAACCCCATCCACCTCTTCTCCAAGCACCATCCCTGCTCTGACTCTTCCCTGAATTCTTTCCCCTTCCCCCAAGCAACATGATACAGAAATTACCAGTGGCCTCTGGGCTGGCTATGGATCCATTGTTTTGGGGCCACAGAGATTCGTAATGGATCCAGGAGTGGCTGACAGGAGTCAATTGAGAGAACAAATGGCTGTGGTTGGAGCTCAGAAATGGGGCTGGAACAGGGGTAGAACAGGCAAAGCCTTGAGTGAAGATGCCAAATGCAAACAAGGCCATGGACAGAGTAGGAGTGGAGCACCCACCAAGAAAAACAAGTCAGTGCCTGGGCCATTCATCTTTTAAAATTGAAACCAAACCCAAAGTATAACAAAATGACCATTATTCCTTCGTACTACCCCAATGGCTTCCCTTTGTCTAGGGGTAAGGTGGGCTAGACTAGCTTTCTGTCTCTCTGCCTTCTATGCAAGGGAGAGTGTGGCCATTGCACCATAGTAAATTCTAGCCTCTGGAAAATCATCCACCACAGAAGCCATCTCTTAACATTTATGCCTGTGCAAAGTAGCCAAAATCAGTCCAGAAGCTGAAGAATATTCTGGCTTGTATTGATCTTATAGATTTTTATCAAATTTAGATGAAGACATAAAAGGCCAGATCCACAGTTTGTGTAGATCAACACCATTCTATCCATGTTTATTTATAAAAGCAAAAGTTCTGCCTCCCCTCACCCCAAATCCACATTTGGACAATAACAGCATATTTACATTAATTGTCTTCTGTCTTTAGAGAAACTATATCCAATTTCTCTATAGTCCATAGTCAAGGAAAACATTTTCACATCAAGCATTTACTCATCAAAGAACTTTTCTCTATGCATTTTAGTAGGTTACATTTGATCCCATCTTTCTACAACAAAGCATACCTTTTAGTTTTCTTTTTAATAAGTTGTGGAAAAAATCTGACACATCAGTATTCCATCTTTTATTCAGGTACTGAACCAATGCAACATTTGAAACTATTTATATGTCTGTAAACACTAGCTCTGAAACATAAAACTAGACATGTATAATTAGTCACAGCCCACAAACAATGCTGCATTGCTTTTACCGATTGTGGAAATACTATTCTGTTTCCATGAATAAAAGGCAATGTTTGAACTGATGTAAATGGGCTCTGGTACAAAATTCTGAACAGAAAATATTATGATAAGGATGATTAAATTTTCAGTACTGCATGTAGAGTAAAGAGCTGAACTACAATATTGGGAACTGCAATCCAGATCCTCAGGTTTGTAAGTCACTTTGCTCCACTGCTGTCCTGCAGATGCTCTGGCTGATGCCAGAGTATCCAGTCTGTCTCCAGTAGTCTCCTGGTTCAGAGAGCTAGTTAACTTTGCCCTTCTTCCTCTCCAGATGCATGACAACTGCTTTGAGATACCTGTAGCCCTGCATTTGTTACATAAAATACACTCATTCACTGTTTTTAAAATTTGATTAAGGTAAAAACTGATGAAATTAAGTGAGCTTCACATACTCCTAGTAAATTCTCATGTGAGTCTTTACAAACTCCAGAAAACTCTTTTATATGTCAGTCTTTTTTCTTTGTACAGTCTTCACAATTGCTGGCCACCTCCATCACCTGTCCCAGAAGCTATAAATCATACATGCTAATTACAACATCTTGATTTCTAAAGAGAAATTAATACAAATAGTACTTAAATGTAATAGTAATAACAATAATAATAATCTAAAAATTACATTCCTTACAGATACCAAAATTCCTAAATTAATCAAAGAATATAATAGAATCTCTATGGATAGAAATGCCATGCCTGAATAATAAGAGTATATCACCAACCACCTGAAAAGAACACTGATGATGTTTGTGAAACAGAAGACCCAATAATAATGGGAGATTTCAATTATCCCCATATTAACTCTATAAACATCACATCAGAATGGGATAAAGACAATTTCTGGACACTATTAGTGACTCCTTCTTGTGGCAGTTAGTTTTGGAACAACAAGGGGTGAGCCAATTCTTGATTTAATCAGATACTGAGAGCACAAGATCTGGTCCAAGAGAAAATATAACTATACCATTTGGTAACAGAAAGAATAGTGTAATTACATTTATTCTTATAGAGAGAAAACACAAATGAAACTCAGCATAGCATCTTTTAACTTTATAAGTGGAAACTATAAAAATAAGTAGGCTAGTTAAATAGAAATTAGAAGTTACAGTCAAAAGAGTGAAATGCATCCAAGTTGCATGAAAATTATTTAAAAACTGCTATAACAGAGCCTAAACTAAAAGTATATATCAAAGCATAAAATAAAGAAGTATGAGGACCAATAAAATGCTGCCATAGCTAAACAGAGAAAAAAAGGCAGACAGAGCCAACAATACATCTTTCAAAAATTGGAAGTCAAATCCTACTGAGGAAAATAGAAAGGAATATAAACATTGGCAAGTGGATTGTAAAAAGTATAATTAGTCAGGCCAAAAGAAGAGAGAAGAATTTGAAGAGCAACTAACAAAAGACATAAAAATTAACAGCCAAAAAATTAAGTACATATATGATGGGGGCCTTCATGCTTTCCTAGAATTTCTCCTTCTTCTGGTCACTGTGAGGAATAGCTTCCCAGGCCAATGCCCCTTTCTGCAGTTCCACAACATCACTCCATCTCTGTATACTAGCCTTCAGCACCTCTCTGGCTTTACGAGTTGCTGCTGCTGCTGCTGCTGCCAATGCTGCCACTTCATGCCCTCCAGCCAGGTCACTTCTAGGGCATCAATGTCTTTCTCCCTGGCAGTCTAAGGCAGTCTTTCCTTTAAGTGCCACTGGCTTGGGGACACTCTAGTTAGCAGTCATGATCTATTTCCTTTTAGATATTACTTCCTTTCTCTGAACTCTTCCTTATCATCTCGCATTCTCCCCTCAGCCCCCATCTGAGATTGCCAGACACTTTCCAAGGCAGTATCTGTGGGCTTCCTGGCACTGTATTCCCAAATACTCTTCCCTTCTTCCACAGACTCACTGCTGACTTTCCTAGCAGCCCCCTTCTTAACCTGCTTTAATCATTTCAGTACAAGTGTGAGGTGACCTCCTCATCACAAACAAACACTAGTGCCACTGTGGTGCTAAAGGAACACTCAAGGAAGTCTCGTGGACTGTTCATGACCAAGAATGCCAAATTCAGGGACAACTGATAAAAGCAGGACAGTTAACTGAACACATATCCATGTGGTATGTTCTGTAATTAGATTTCACAAACCCAGTAATAAATGTAAATACCTGGATCACATTAATAGTCTTTTATAGAGTCCAAGATGGTCCCCTGAGGCTATACAATCAATCTTTCCACCCAGGCAAGCAGGACTTAGTGTGTGTGTCTACACAACAAAGTTATTTTGGAATGGTGGCCATTATTCCGAAATAACCATGAGAGTGTCTACACAGCAATTCCGTTATTTTGAAATAATTTCATAATAATGGATGGCTTATTTCAACTTCCGTAAACCTAATTCTATAAAGAATAATGCCTATTCCAAAATAGCTATTTTGAAATAAGGCGTGTGTAGATGCTCCACTTCTGCTATTTCAAAATAGCCTCTCACCAGGGCCATTCTAATTTATTCCTCCTGGGACTCTAAATCGAGGTAGCATGTCTACATTAGGGAAATCTGCTTTGGACTAATTTTGAGGGTTCCCTGTAGTGTAAACTAACTATGGATTTATTAATAAGAAAAAGAAGTGGGAGAGTCATTTACATGTTAAAACAGGAAACCTAGGTACTCCAAAGATTTCAGTCTATGATTCCAAAAGGTGACAAAGATAGTGTAACAGTGTATGGTTCTTCAGGATTAGCCCCTGGCAGGCATGGTGGTTTTCAGCAACCATTGGCCACAGATCCCCTTTCCTAGCCAATGGGAACAGTAGGTAATGGTGTACTGGTACACATCACTTCCCATAGATCCCAATGACCAGGAACAATGATCTATTGCCAATAAGTGATATGAGCTTCCATAGCTGTTGACAGACAGGTAAATAAAGCACATGGTGACCCACCAGGGGCTAATACTGGAGAACCATGTCTGGACCAAAGATCACTTATAACCCACCCATGCCTTAGCACCCTTGTCTTACATACTTATTTGCAGATATCAGGAAAAATATCCTAACTATCAGAATAGAAGGACAGTGGAACAGACTACCTTGGAACATTGTGGAAACTACTTCACTGGAAGTTTTCAAAAGGAGACTGGATAGCCATCTTTCTTGGATGGTTTAGACACAACAAATCCTGCAGGATTAGAGGAGATGACCTTTGTGATTCATTCTAATCCTATGATTCTATGATTATTATAAGACCTAAAAGCATCTTTCCATTTAAAAATAGAGAGAGAAGAACGTTTGTGTGCAAAATGCATAATGTAGTTTATCAAGATTCAAAGATTCTGAACATAAAAGGCAGATGACCACTGCCTGTTCCTCTGACTAAGAGCTTTTCTGCCTTAAGGTAGAACAAAAGCCTTCCAGTTGCTCAATATGGATTCTGTCACATTTTTTCTTGAGTGTACATGTTCAATTAGTATCAAATAGTAAAGCATGCCTGTACTAGTTCTATCATTTTATGACAATAGACAATATTTCATTCCCTAAGTAAAACAGACTTAATTGCTAAACAAGATTTCAAGGAACTGAACTTCGTTTTATTCACAAACAAGCTGCAAGGCAATTTTCAATTACAGCAAGCTTTTTATTTTTATCCAGCTGTGTACCCCTGCTGATTCCTAAAATTACATGTAAATTGTCCCAGATTTTGAAGTGGTGCACCTAGTGAGATTTTTCTTTTGTCAGCTGATGAAGTATCTGTGATTAGAAACTAACTGAATTGGTATTTATAAGATGGATTACCTTACCCTGTATAATTTTGGACTAGATGATTGTATATGAAGAAGGTCTTGGTTGTTCTCAACAATAATATTCTTCCTAATTAGGCTGTTGGTGGTGCAAACCACTCACCTATTCTGCAGCAACATCAAAAGGTAATGCAGGAATGGAGCTTTAGAAAAGAGTCCTTTCTGTATTGAGGAATAAGGTCAATCACTTGCTTTAAAAACCTTTTCAATAAATTCTCTCCGAAAGACTTTGCAGAACAATACCAACTTTAATAATTGTACCACATAATTAATATGTAGTAAACATATAATCTGCATTGATAATAAATAATAAGCCATAATTAATTATTCTATATTAATTATTCATAATTATGGTTACAAGTCCAAATCTTAGTTTATAATATTTCTATATGATCTTTACCTGACTTTCTCATGTGTAACTATGAATAGACTGCTTATTTTAACTTGTGATTCTCCTGCTTAATCACATTACCTATTCCCATACAACATCTAATATGTTTCATAGCCAAATAGAAGGATCTTTTTTTTTTTTTAATATTGACAATGAATCTGTATAACTATTCAATGCTCTATTGGTGTGTTTCTCAGGTAAGGCACCTAGTAAATGAATCCTCAGCCCAGCAATTAGGGCACTCATCTGGATGCTGAAGACCCAAAGAGTTCAGAATAGGGATGTGAAGTGGGTATTCTACATCCCTAGTGAGTGCTATTATCACTGAGTATTGTCTAGACTGGGGTGGGTTTCTTTTTAGAAGATTCCAGTGGTGGATGGTGAAATGCTCATAGTGTTCCTGGAACACCAAGTAAACCCCTTACTCCCATGGCTCATTAAGATTAACAGGGAAAACCTTAAAAAAACAACAAATGGTCTAGTATCACTTTATAGACTAACAAAACATGTAGATGGTATCATGAGCTTCCGTGGGCACAACCCACTTCTTCAGATGACCGGAGTTATCATCTAAACATCTGAAGAAATGGGCTATGCCCACAAACGCTCATGATACCATCTATATGTTTTGTTAGTCTATAAAGTGATACTGGACCATTTGTTGTTTTTTTAAGACTTTCCATGTAAGGCTTAATGAGGCCGTATTGATAGCACATATATTGTGTGTGTGGTAAATAGGTTGAGAATCACTGCTATACAATAACAATTATGACAATTGTTTTGGAAGAAGATAGTTATCGAGTGGTTAAAATGATTTATTTATTACTTGAGGCCAAAGCTTTCAAAAGATTGTTACTAAAGTCATGTTCCTATGTCCATAAATGAAGGTTTTGGAACTTAACTTTAAGCACAATGGCTTTATTAAATGATCTGATTAATAGTTAAATAACCAATCCTAACAATAAAATCCACAATACTCATGTAGTACATGGAAAATCTGCATTTATATGTGAGCGAACATACATTACTTCTTTTTTAAATTCAAGGACATGTCAACTAGAATGTAATTTCTTGATTTTCAAAAAGGTCTCACAATAAATTACTGATCAAAGTCAACATTTTAATTTAGCTCAAAATATATCCATTGCAGGTGGGTTTCTCCAATATTGTATGAATAATTAATAATTGCATAGAAATTGCTATCATGTTAAAGATAGGAGTGTTTTTGTTTGCTTTTTTTTTTGAAACTTCCTGCTTTCTCAGCTGAGGAGCTGGCCCTATGCGCTCTCTCACACAAATACATACACACACATACATATAAACACACACATATATTTTTCTTTTCTAACTTATGTTAGTGTATCATAACATTGCTAATATATATCAGAAACTGACTGAGCTGGACTTCAGAAAGTCTCAAAGATATAACTTGTGGCAATTTACAGTCATGTTTACAATAAGAATTGCATTCTCCCTTGTGATTATTTATTATCATAGTCCCTTTCTCTGCTAATATCCATTAGGATTTCACTATTCACATATAAAGATTTAAGATTTTAGAATTAACTAGGTCAGAAACAAACCTCAACTTTAATTAAAAAACCACAATTTTATATCAACTGGCTTATGATACATGCTCCCTTTTACTTTAAACAAATGAGCACTGATGCATCTTTTGAAATAAGTTAACTATATTGGAATCACACCCTGAGGAATACAAATGTGGTAAAATTAGAAATGAAGACTAATGTATTCACAGATTTTTTTCCCTCGCTATCTTTTTCAGTTCTTAACTGGATCAGTGCCAGGCTGCTGCTCTTAGCATTCTCCAAATGCTCTTAGCATTAATGAAATGTGCAGTGCCATTAATATCTTCCTGCCATGAAGGACTGTGATGCTTGATAGTGTGCATGAAATAATGGATGCCTTTGCAGCTCTGAGATTCCCTAATTGCAAAGGGGCAATAGAAAGAACTCTTGTTCCAATTTTGGTCCTGGAATATCTCACAATGGATAACATCAATAGAAAAGTGTACTTCTCTTTGATAATACAGGCATTTGTGTATCACCATAGGCCTTGCACTGACATCAGTGTGAGGTAGTCCATGAAGGTGCATGATTCACTCATCCTCAGGAACACTGGGCTACAGAAAAGTTCCAAGCAGGAACTTGCTTTCTAGACCAGAAGATTCCTGTGGTGAATGCTAAAATGGAACACCCAGCATACACTTTTCTCTCACTGTTCATTAAGCCTAATATGAGAAATTTGGACTACAGCAAGGAATACTTCAGTAATAGTCTGAGCCCGAGAAAAATGATCATTCAATGTACCTTTGGTAGATTAAAAGCATGCTGGTGCTGCCTTTATGACATTTGAGACCTAAGTGAGGAAAACATCCCCATGGCCATAGTAGTTTATTGAGCGCTCCATAAAATATGTGAGGCTAAGGGTGAAAAAATGTCTCAATGGTGGAATATGGAGGTGGATCACCACCTGGCTGATGATTTGAGCAGCCAGGTAACAAGGCTATTGGAGGAGTACAGTATTGGAGGAGGTAAATCAAGGAATCCTTGAGACAATATTTTGATAATGACTTCAAGTAACATGTCTTGTTATACAACACCTGACATGTTTTTTTAACTTTTCACCTTATATGAAAATTGTGATGTTTCCTTACTGGGATGTGTAGTCTACAATTAGATTGCCACTGTGTATTTCTAACTATAGCGACCATGATATGTATGGGTACATCTAAACTACATGGCTCCGTCGACGGAGCCATGTAGTTTAGATGTA